TATTCAATAATTGAATACTTGAACAGTTCAATAGTTGAAATTTCAACTATTCAATAATTGAATACTTGAATACTTGAATTCAAGTTTCAAGTATTACATGTATGATTTGATTGAACTGATGCCGAGATAGTTCATTTTTTATCTTAGTACTATTTATAGCCCACATTGTATGTTATACACTATAAAGGAAAAATTAAAATGTTCATAACTTTTGAAAGAAAGTGATAGAAACCCAAATCCTTCATGCGGTTTTACTAGAACAGTGAACAGTAGCTATAGGCAAAAAATCATCGAAATCGAAGGGAGATATCTGAAAAGTTTTCTTCGTAAATTGAGGTATAAACTAATTAGAAATACAAAGAATTATTCTTAATTTTTTGAATCTCAAGTTTCATATTTATTTTTATTGGATATTTTAAAACTTACATTTTGTATTGAATTAGTAATATGACTATATTATAATTAATGGAAAGTGATTAAAAAAAATGTAGATTTGTTGAGGGTGTGGGTGTCGATGACAAGGAGATCATCACCCTCACATCCACATCCACACCCACACCTACACACTTAATCTTTGAGGAAAAATTTTTTTTTACTTCTCAGGTTAGAATAATAAATAGCATCTTTAACAAACAAGATCAACATCATCTTTTTCATCGACGTAGACCCGTGAATAATATTCTTTTAACTAGCATTCTTATTGGAAAACGAATAAGATACTGTATCGATAATGCATACTAGTTGTTGCGTCTATCGCACACAAACTTTCGCAGAGGAGCCAATAGCGAGCATGGAACAAGTCAACAGATGATAGGTAACTATTAGTAGTCTTAGGATTGCACAGATAGCTTGTTTAATAATTGTAACATGTAATAATCAACTGATTCATATGATGAAGTATAAAATCAATACTTAAAATTTTTTTAAGACATCAAATCATGCTATCCTATTGACACTGTCACAGTTAAAAACACAGACTGATTTCTATCGTAGTTTAAACCAGCAGATAAATGATATTGCTCAGAAAATTATGAAATTAAGTTGCAATATATGCCGGATACAAATAGCTGTGAAAAGATCATCGAGTAGATGTATAGAGCATATCAAAATCGTATTTCGAAGGAGGTTTTTTGTGCTCGAAAGCAGATCTCGAGTGATTGAAATATGCCTGAGAAATCGGTAGTATTCTTTGGATAGGTATTGTCTTCCTGAGTACTTGACACTTCGATGAGTGCTAAAGTGTCAAAATGTATTCGAGGAATCGAAAATGATTGTTCAATAGGAAAGAATTCCAACGGCTCGAAATTCGATGGGCGTCGAAGGGATTGAAATCAGAACCGAAAGAACAAGAAAAAATATATATTTCAAACTTTCAAGCACTCACTGCATGCATTGTACACTTTTTAAAGGCTGCTTGAGAAGTGCTAGAAGTAATATTCAATTTCTTTTGACGAATTCAATGTATGAAACTTATATGTAATACATATTGATTATTGAAACCGTAAGAAAAAACATCTATGACCTTGTGGAAATACCAAAGTGAACAAAAAACAAAGAATAATAACATTTTTTTTGTGAAGTTGTTTCATACATCGTGTAATTGAAATTGAATGTAAATTTAGGTATTCAGTTATAAAACAAAAAAAAAATCATTTTTCATCATTTTTAATAAACTTACTACAATAATGATAGATCATGTACATATGTCAAGAAAAGAAGATAATTATTATTCCGCATCATCTTATTCAAAGTCAGTCAATCATAGTATTTTGGATCACACACTATTAAACCAATCACATGTTATAAAACGGTTTCATTCTCGATCACACAAGCATAAAGTAATTTCTCGTGTCTTTCAATATTGAATACTTCCTATTATTGATTATTCTGTTTAGTTACATAATTTATTAGAAAGACACAAACGATCTAATGCTGTCATTCATGTGACTATTAGACTATTGAGCACTGGTCATTTAACAGAGAATAAGACCATCAATCGTCATCGTAACCAATCTTTGGTAAAATTCACAATCATGGCGTTGGTTTTTATGTCTATTCTTTTTTAGATAGATCGGATCTCAACTGTACGAAATATTCCACACCAAGAATCGGACTCGCGTGAATTATCAGTTATTCAAAATATATTCGAAAATTCTAACAGTGCATTACGTTCTGTCAGTGTCACTCATATTCGTCGATATCATCATTCGGCATCGCAGGTAGAGAATATATTTCGAGATCAGTGACAATGTTATAATTGTTATCACTTCATACCTATCTAATCCTAGTCAGGATTTTCTAAAATGCAAATATTTTTTTAATGAAAATATTGCTTCTAAGAACAGTAGCAATTATTCAATCACTCTATTTTTCTTTTGATAGAAATCAGAAAAACAAAACAATCAAGAAATGGTATCAAACTCTCAAACTCATCTATCGAAGTCATTCAAAATGACTCACCATGACGTTAGTCTTTCAAAAATTCTTTGAAAAATAACACATTTAATTCTATACAATACAAAATTTTTAGGATGAAGCAAGTAATGATCAGCGTCATCAGAAAGTAAGATGAATGACTATATTATTATTTATTTTTACAATATTATCTCTTCAATTGAAGCATACAAAAGATATCCGATCAGATGAAACAGGTACGATCGAAGATTATCATCGAATTTCGAAAAAACATCAAAAGAAAATGTAAATATTCATTTTTTCTTTGTTATAGATCATGTTCAATATTAAACATTTATTATAGATGTTCGCGTCGATGTATTATTGCTTCTATACTTATTGCTTTGATAATTAGCATAATCTTGGCTGTGATTCTACCGATTATATTAATCAAATCCAAAACTGTAACAACACTCAGTAAGACAAACCAATTGTTTCTCTTGAATTCTATTCATAATATTATCCTTGATTGTACTTGCAGATATTGTACCCACATTACGTTGGAATACAACAGGAATCACTTTATTCGGCCTATCAGGTGTGACAGGTAATGCTAGTGATCAACTCAAGCTACCTAAAGATGCAATATTGGATTCTCCTAATATACTCTATATTGCTGATTCTGGAAACCATCGTATTCAAAAATACGTAATAGGTGATCTGACTGGCACGACATTGGCGGGACAAACAAGTGGAATAGGAGGCTCATCAGCAAGCCATTTGAATTCTCCTTCATCTGTTCTCATCGATTCCAATGGTGGACTTTATGTAGCAGATACGAACAATCATCGAATTCAATTTTGGTCTAATGGTGCTTCTTCAGGAATAACAATTGTTGGAAATGGAACAAGTAAGATAACGAAAATTAATGATAAATATGTCTCTTTATGTTAATCTGCTACAGATAAAACTACGTTTTCCAATTGAACAAAACTGTTCATTGTTTTTAGTAAAAAGATTATTACTATTATATTTACATAAACAGAATTTTTTTATGGAAAAAAAATTATTCTTTGTTAATTAGAAATTTATTTTTGTTTGTTTAGATGGTTTTTTCAACATGACCAATCAATTATCCCAACCATACGGTATTTACCGTGATTTAAACTCAGATATACTTTACATTCCTGATTATGGTAATGCTCGTGTAATGTCCTATGCATCTGGTGCTTCCTCGGGTATCGTCGTTGCAGGAGGAAAAGGGTCAGGAAGAAACAATACACAATTATACAGTCCTATTCGTGTGTACTTTGATTCATTGTCGAATAGTCTTGTTATTGCCAACCATAACGCTCATAATATTGTTCGTTGGGTTTTGGGTGATAGTAGTTGGACGATACTTGCTGGTAATCTCAATGGAACTTTGGGTAACAGTTCAACGGAACTTAGATTTCCATCAGACGTCACATTCGATCCAATGGGTAATATGTACGTTGCTGATAAGGATAATTATCGCATACAACTATTCATGGCTGGTCAATCAGAAGGCAAAACTATTGCCGGTGTTACAAGAATCAGTGGTAATACCTCCACTCTGCTCTTTCAACCTTGGTCAGTAAAACTTGACAACCAACTAAATTTGTATGTAGCAGATTCTCGAAATCATAGAATACAGAAGTTTCTTCGCTATTAAAGAAAAATTCTATAAAACTAAAAAACAATATGTCTATTATGAATGTATTTCTTATTTTTTATTTGTTCATGTTTTTTCTAATTATCTTTTCCATTGAATAAATATACATGCCAACTAATTATACAATAGCAGTTCAAACTAGATTTACTTTAGAACGCTAAGCATCCCAAAGCTATCGACAACTGATGTAAAATTCAGCCGATCTAAACGTGGTTGAACGTATTGAATCAATAATTACCAACGAAGTTGAAAAAAATGCAATCACGGACAGAAGATAATCTTTATCACGATGAAACGCTGAAAAAAAACATATTTCAGATATTCTGACAAACCCATCATTGACACGCTTTAATTTGATATAAAATTTGTTATTGATACTATTGTAAATCATAGTGCTACGTTTGTAGAATATATAAACAGAGAAGGTATAGAACGAGGCGTTCTTTAATTTCTTGAAAAATGCAATGCTGGTCTAACCAGCAAGGATGTGGTTGGTGTTGGACAAAAGAAGTCGCCAACAGGCACCCACTCTTACATCCCACATCCACACCCTCACCCTATTGTTTACAAATGACCCGCTAGAAAGTATTCCCGACGAGTCAAAAATTATCAGTTCGTGCTCTTTTCGATTATGGGCTTAGAAATCTTGTCTTAACTCTTTATTCAAGAGTAGTAAAATAACCTTTGAAAAATCCAAAAAATTAGTTTGGACCAAAAATTTTTTTATTTTTATTATTACGATTGGAAATTAAAAAGTTAGTATCTTTATTTATATATATTCGTACGAATTTATAAGGTAGGCATCATTTAATAACTATAGGACTTTTAATAAAAATAAATTAATTGAATTTTAAAAAAAAGAAGGGATATTCAGCATATATGGTTTGGTTTTGTTGGTAATTCTAAACAACAATCAATGATTATCTCGGAAAGGATAAAAATAATTTTCTTTTAAAAATAGTGATGGAAGATGTTTATTGCAAACAATTGGTTGATCTAATTCAATCTGTAAAAGTTGTAGTGGTGTACTTTTAACAGCAATTGTTAATGGAGCTCGAGGTTTACATTGACCAAAACGAATATGAATACACGCTTTTAATAATTTTGGTTTAAGTACAACTTCTTGAAATCGAATTTCAACGAACCGAGGACTTGTTGGTTGTAATTGATGTAAATAAACTTTTTGGTTATGATTTTCTTGTTCTTAATATATTGATCTTAAATTCAAATTCAATTCTATTATCGCATCATCTTAGTCAACTAACTAAGATAGAAAAGATGTATTTAATCTCGAAAGTAAGGAAAAAAAATCTTTTTTCTACATGTTTAATTTTTCATTGAATGTTCTGTCGAACTCACATATATTTTCGAAGAAAATAGTGAGTGTAAATTTTAAGGCGAAGTTTTTCGGTACGCCACGCCGCCCTCTCCTTTCCATTACAGACCTTAGTAAATTTCCCAAAAAAAGAAAAAAATTCTGTTTAAAATGCAGAAATAAAACAACTATAGTCTACGAGAATTTTCATATTATGTATTTTGTATGAGTTTAATGAAGCTAAAGAATTTATGTGAGCTTCACATTTCAGCCCCAAATGAACTGCGCTAATAAACTTTTTTTGGTAGTTCATCTTGATGATTTTCTTCTTATATGTTCTCGACATGATGCTTTATTGTAAAATTCAAATGAAAAGAGACCACTTGGATCGGTCTTTTTGGGCGTTGTTCAATAAATTATAGGATGCGGATGTGGATGTGGCTTAAGAGAAGACCCGCACCAACGCTCACACCCATACTTGCACCCTTAAGATTGTTATGAGACATTGTCACCTATATTACCTTTAGATCTCTTGTATGATATGAAATGTGTACTATTATCTTTCTATCTGTTACTCATAATTTCTGATGAATATTTGCTATAAAACTTTACCTTGATACTATTATATATAGATCACAAAATAGAAGTAAACAATTGTGACATTATCCATCATACATATATTTCACATGAATCATAGCAAAACAAGAGGCGGCACAAATATACAGCTTACATAAATTGATTAACACAAATTTCATTTGAAAAACAATTACTGAGAAGATGTTTTTAAAGCTCAAAGAGCAACAAACCTGCAAATTGCTAGTGAAATTCCCCCTAAATATGTCCGTGGTGGGCATAGGTGTTGGTATGATTTTTTTCGTTCAACTACACGCTCACCCACATCCATAAAATTGTTATTGTATTTTTTTTCGAGAATTTTTCGCAGCAGAATTAAAATACAAGTACTTCCTTACTTTAATAATGTCCTCACTTTCACACAGTCTTGTGAGCTGAATTAAGCATACCGAATAGTACGCGAGCACTATTTTTAAAGTGAACTAAGATCGAAATTCCAAGTTGTCTATAACATAAATGTATACAAGTTAACAATGAGAGTAAATTTTAATGACCACTATGGAATAACATCAAATCAAAATGAAACTCATATTTTGTCAAAATAAAATCAAATTTAATTCATTAATATTAGAAAACTATTATGAATACAACTTTATTCTGAATAAAACTCGATCTTTCATTCAAATGAAGTTTTCGTGAAAACTGATATTTTAGAAAGACAAAGAAAAGGATGTGCGTGTGGATGTGCGTATAGTTGAAGGCAATACACACACCCACCCATACCCACCCACACCTTACACCCACACCCACCCACACCTACACTCATCCACACCCACACCCACAAGTATTTCTACTATCTTATTTGAGTATTGCTTTATTACTTTTATATTGCTATTACTTACTACTGATAATAAGGAATAACTTTTATTATTTCTATTACTTATTAATTTATTATTATGTTGCTATATTACTGTTATTATTACAATATTTGACAGTGTGGATGTGAGTGTACGTGTGAATGATGATGTGTGTGCAGATTTTGGGTGTGGGTCTGGGCGTAGATAAAAAATGATATCCACACCCACACCCACGCCCTCACATCAAAACTCGCACCAGCATTCATACTCACATCCATCATGAACACGCTAACCATGACACCCATATGCATTTAATCACATTCATACTCACATCTTTGTTGGATATTTCTCAAAATTATTTAATTTCCAAAATTTATGAAATTTCCAATATTTCTCAAAACTTTTGATTCATCTGCTATGTAATTATCGAGCTAATGGAAATTTCGCAACTTTCAGTAATTTCCTTTTTCGAAAATCTGAACATACCTCTTCTCACCACTACACCCTATTAAATGATAATTGAAATGATAAAGAAGATTTGATCCGAATATTTTGTAATGAATAATGGAAAAGTAATCTTCAACTACTTAATGTCAAGTTGCCACAGCCTGTTTACATATAGAAAACAGAAAATTATGCATCGAGTAATCATTAAAAAAAACGTGTCATGCGTGCAATATTCATCATTGACGATAGAAAGGAAAGGTAAGTTGGAGGTTTTTTCTTATTAATGATTGTTTCTTTTCAAAACATGAGTCAAAGGAAAAAAACATAGTCATGATTGTATCAAATTATTCATAGATTTTGTCTATTTATTCTAGTAGAATTTGCATATTTTACAAACAAAATATACCAACATTCCTCATACTTGTACAACTGAAGTGCGATATCATCGAAGACTCAATTTTATCAACTCAGAAAGTAATCGAAAAGGCAATGACAGATAGTCTCTAAAAAACACGTAAGTAGTAGAAGGCTCTTCTGACTTTGCGTGTTTTGCTTGTCGATAGCGGTATTTCTTAATGTTCCTTTTATAAGAAAAAAAATATAAATAAAATCTTTATATTTGTAAAATAAAGATAAATGAATTCTTTATTTTCAAAAATAAACAAAGTTTTTCTGTGATAGAGAAATAGACAAATATCTATTACAACAACAGAATATGTTAATGCATATTCTTTCATATTACTACCACCACTTTGAGATGTAATATTATTAAAAAAATGGAACTGATACATGAAAAAACAGATGCAAAAAACTTTTCTATACATTTTATTTGTATCTATGATATCACACAGTTTTGAGAGTTACGTGGCAAAAAATTAAAATTAGGCTGTCCTTAAAAAAAAAACTTCTTAATTATTTATTTTATTAATATAAAGATTTTATTTATATTTTATTGTTCATTATAAAAAACCGATGAAAGCAAAAGTAATACTTCTACTTGGAATTGTCATTTGTAAGCAGAACTTATGGTTGAGTTTCCTGATTTTCTCCGGAGGAAAATATTTACACAAGAAATGTTTAACTAAATTCTACTTTCTAGAAAATCGAGTTAGAAAATAAAGTTCAAACATTTTCAGATTATTATTAACCATCAAATGATTTAGTAATTTTGTAGAAAATGCTTGACTTTCAGTAAAGTAGAATTTCAATATCAATTTTCTATAAAAAAATTATTTTTGAACGAATTGAAAAAATTCAACAACAGTTTTTAAATATGTTTGAAAATTATTTTCCAATTTCATAGAAAACCGACATTACTTTTTTGGAAAACGGTTTAAATAATGACGATTACAGAGTTATTGTTTCGTAACATGTATAAGTCGATCGATGGTGTCGAGAATTCATTGTTTTCTTCGGCAGCTGCATCGAATGTATACTAAACAGTCCATTGTTCAGTAACGCAAACTAACCAAAAATTATTTTTTATTGATCGTGAGAGATAGCATAAATATAATTTTTCTTTCTGACAATATTTCTAATATTTCTTATTTTTAAAACTTTTCCTAATCTATTCGCTGTCTTTCATATATCATCCTTGGGTACGAAATTGATTGTTCACATTGGGTGGGTGTGGGATGAGGGTGTGGGTGTGAATGCGGGTGTAGGTGGGGTGTGGCTGTGGCTGTGGGTGTGGAGTGTGGGTGTGGGTGTGGATGCGGGTGTAGGTGGGGTGTG